TTGAATTGGCCAATCCACTAAGTCTGTTGTCCAAACGAATCCAAATATATGAGGGAAAGACACAAAAGGTCGGACACAGTCTTGAGTTCAATAGCAGGGCGCGGACTGAAGCTCAGGTTGTGTATCACGACGGCGCTAGGTAGGCGGGACGATTGTTGAAGGCTGAGCAGGGCTGAGGTCAGAACGCGTATCAACTACGAGGCGAGGATCAGACGCGTTTAGTGGTTTCGACGAGGCGTCGATGACATAATGTCTAAAGGCAGAAACTACAGCCTCGTCATCTCCGCATATTCCTCTAATATAGCAGTTTAAGCAACCTCCTTGTGGCCAACATTAATCTCATGCACAATACCTGCATCCAGCACTGATTCTTGATTGAATCATAGGCTGCTGTCGATATCTGCCTCATCTTTATCTCATTTCACCGTCTACATAATAATCAATCAAGCTGGCGTGGTTCTGGATTTCACCTGCTTCGGAGACGACCTCGGACTCTCCTTCAACCAGCTCGCAACCTCGCACCCAGAATCCTGCTCCTAGTGCTCCTCCATCCCGACGGTCCAGCTCCCTTCCTTCCATTCCAGACCAGGCTCTGTCAGCTAGTGCTGGAGCTCAGGTGCCACGATCTCTAATAATGTCCAAACCCACGGCTCCTCCCACGAACCTCACGCCGCAGTTCTGTTTTAACACCCGGGTTTTGCGAGACTTCCTCCGCCTCTCACGCGCAAGCATAGATGACAGCATATCCACCAATTTGAATGCATTAATCACGCCCTCTACAACCTCACCCTTCGACCCTGCTTCAACATCAATCCGTAATCCATCGTTACCATCCTCACTCACCCGCGCCCCCATACCTCGAGAAACGAGTCGGACCTTTCTACATTCTGTCCTATTTCCATCGTGGAACGTGAGATCGGATGTGATATCTTATTGCACTAGTGTTGCTACGAGTCCAGATCCAAACGACCCTGATCTCATCGAGCGAGAAGCCTCGAATAGGCGAGATGCCGAGCGGATAGTAAACGAGCGCCTTGACCCCTACTCAGGAAGATTCTTCCCTAGGGAATCGAGGGCGGAGATGCTGGCAGATGTGCTGAGGAATGAGAACGCGGTGGAGAAGATCATAAGAACGAGGACATGGGGGATCGTACAAGAAAGATGTGAAGGTGTTGAGGAAGGGACATGGGAGGAGGCAGTAAACAAATGGAGAGAAGGAACAACATAAAGAGTCAAATTCGGATCAATTGGTGAAAATGTCGGTAACAAAGAAAATATGCAATTGGGTGTTTTGAATGCGACGTCTGCCGGCATATGGTACGCTGGGAAGAAAGGTGGTCTTAAGACAGCTTCGCTGGCGCGGACAGTAGACTTCTGTCACGATATGTTTCCGACCATATATGGCAAATGCGGTGCTCTCAATGTCGAGTCGAACAAGGGGGCGTGAAAGGACTGAGCCCTTCTTTTCGCTCCTCATTTCAGTCTGATCGGGAAGAGAGAGTTGGTGGGCGCAAGTTGCATGGCAGGAGATAGACTCGGGAGTCTGAAACGGCAACATGGTGCCTTCCACCTTGTGTCCACTGAGAGGAAAAAAGAAGGCAACGTACAGAAGAACAGGAACAAACACCTCAAAGGGAAGGAAACTCCACTCAACATTGGAATAATTCCACAGCAAAGGAACCACCTCTATATCTCTTCTCCCGTCAAAACAAGGCTAGGTTTGAAGCCGCAAGGCTTTTGGTTTGTTGGTCTTGCTGTATATCTCAAGAGAGATAGAAGACGATACGACATCTTTTGAGATGTCATGAAAGCGCCGCTGCTGCGCTGTGTTATGTACAAATATCTATATCCCTTGGACCGGCAAACCGGATTCAAAAGTAAGTGACTGAGTCTCTCCACGGAATATGTATTAGGTGCCTCGAGAGTGCTCAATGAAGTCAAAGCGGCTGCTTTATCGAATACAATCGACAGAATAGGATGAACGACAGAGGGCCACTATTGCTAAAGGAAAATAACATACTTATTGTGAATGGAGGGCATCTTCGATCTAACAGTGAATTACTATATTCTTGTCTAACTGCGCCACTTATTTTTGAACTTCTTGTGGCACGGGGAACTTTGGGGGAACATAGTGGTTTTCAAGTGCTATTATTGTATCGATATTACTTGGATACTGCCCACGCTAGTGTGTAGTATCTCTCGTGCTGGGAGACTCTATGGATCTCGGTCTCGAGAACAACAGTCAAAAACAAGAACACATATCCCATGTAAACAATATGACATTCTTTCTGCGTTTCCCAACAGGAAAATACGCCGGGCACGCCAATTTAATTTCGTGTCCTTTTGTGGCCCAGCAAGGCCTCGGAAAACAAAACAACCAAAAAGACAACAGGTTGTAGATATGCCGGCATTCTACGAGGCCTGGCCTGGCTTGGCTCCTCGCTTGACTAGGGAGTAGTGGAGCCAGTCTCGTCTGACTTCTTCCTCCTGAAAGTGACCTTCTCGACGATCCTAACGGCGAAGTTTTCCTTGGAGGTCGACGATCTCTGAAGGCCGTTCTCTTCGTCCGCACCCCCATGGTCGACTGCCTCGGGACCAATCTCTGCCTTGTCCAGGGCCCTTCTGAATGACGGGATCAAATTGGTCGCGGCCGGGTACGTAAACACAATTAAGAAGCACGACGCAGTCAACCACCAGGCGTGGGAGATGCGTACGGATTCCACGAGCTGGCCCATCAAGGCGGGTTGCAATGCACCGCCCGAAATGCTGACAATCATCATGGTCTCGCAGGTTGGAGTCCACTCTTCGAAACTGGCCGTGGCGCTTTCAAAGATCATCGGGAACGAAGGTGCCTCGAAGAACATGACCATGATGGCTACCGCAATGGCTGCCGTAGCTGTGATATCTGTTCCAGCGGCAGTGGTTGCGACTGCGCCGGCCATGAAGCACATCAGGACGTACCGGGGCTTGAAGATCCTCGGCATGGTGACCAGCCCTGCGGCAGCAAAACGACCGATGACAAATGCGGTCTGCGCAAGGGACATGTAGTACGCGGCCCATCTGTCACTGGCGCAGGCGTTGACCTTCATATGCTCAATGAAGAATTGGGCAAAAGTCACCTGGCAGCCGAGATTCACGAAATTCGCTGCCACCCCCCACCAGATGCGTGCAAAGCGTCTGGAGACCAGCGGGTGCTTCCACTTCTTCCATCCACAGTCCACTGGCGCGGAGATGGGAACTTCGACCTCCGGAAACCAGTTGGTGCGGAAGAAGAGGACTGCCACGAAGATCATCAGCGCGAAGATGCAGGCGCCCAGAGCACGGTAAAAGGTGATTACGGTGCCCAAGTTAGAGCAGGAGGCGGTCTTCATCGTGGGCATCTGGCATCTACCGGGGTGAAGTGGATCGGGGTCTGGGCGTGCTGTAGAGGTGTCGGGATCGAAGACGAACGCGTTGGCCAGAAATGGAGCCACGACGGTGCCGATACCGGCCCAAGCTTGCGCCATCAAGATTCGCAGAGCGGCTTGCCTGCGTGGACCACAGTTGACAGCATAAGGATTTGCCGAACGCTCCAAGGTCGAAACACCCAAGCCGATGACGAAGTGAGCAGCCACCATGCCCGCAAGACTGCAGCGACTTGCGCCGATAGACATGAATTCGTTGCCCAGGGCAAGAACACCCAGACCAGTCGTCATGGCAATTCGATAGCCTGCCTTCTTCACCAGGGGGCCACCGATCAAAAGTGCACCGGGGATGTAGGCACTATAGTACCCTGCGGCCAAGATGGCGGCCTTTTGCCTGCCGATGCCCATGGCTACCTTGACGTGGTAGTTCATGATATCGAGCAAGCCATAGGCGAGGCCCCACATGAAAAAGATGAAGATGGAGGTAAGAGTGATGGGGAGGATGGTGTCTCGTCCCCGGATCTCTTTAGTTGGCTTATTGTATTGGACATCGAGACGCTTGATGCGCTCGAAAACGGAGCTAAAGTTGACCATTTTTAATGGCCGATATGAGGGGAGTCGTAGAAGGTGAAGAGATTTCGAAGGTAATAGGAGTAGACTGGAGTTTGGGAATGAGGGTTGGTCGAGGGTTGTTTGTAGATGCAGGGATATAGAGAAGATATTCGCTCCGGATGAGGGGTTCTCAGAAGAGAGCACCGTTGCAAAATAAAGGAGATGGAAGATTCTTTGGGAACGAAAGAGAAAGAGGAGATTCTTATACCTGGGGACGAGGGGCAGTTCTGGGGACCTACCGCTTCCAACATCGTCGCGTTTGGTTGCAAGAAGGCGGACTCAAGCCATGTATTTTGAACTATATTCTGCATGGTGAACCATTCAGGGGAGGAGAACAGTACCAGCACCATGGGAAGCCAGGTCTTGTTTTCTGAGGATCTGTGCATTCCGGCCCAATTCAGAAATAGAAAGCACAGTAGTCTCACCCCATCCACATGATGGCTCCTAGTAGAGCTTTCCCAGCCAGGGAATATGGCGGCTGGTGCTCCATCTCAACCCAAGGATGAGAAGAGGCGTCCCCGTCTCATGTCGTGGTCTCCAAACGGAGGTGAGAGGGGGTTCCCGTGAGGACAACTGGAAGACAACACGGAGCGCGTGGCCGAACAACAAGTATTGGCTAAAGTATTCGATTTAATATGTCCGGGTCCAGTACGGAGTAGTTGGTAGACATTTGAATATGGGATGGCAGCGAAGCAGAGGGAGGAAAAGCTTTGTTGATAGGTGGGCTAAGGATTATAGCGGGGCCTTGGCAGGAGATCGAGCGTCGGGATTTGATGGCCCGATCAAGCCGACATCTCTATCGCTTGACATTTCTCTTGATATTACCTCGCAGTGCCTCTTTATTCGTGCATGCAGCTTTGACCTTTTGATCGTCTGATGAATAACCTCCGACACAACCATAAAGCCTCAACAATTCTCATAGCATTTTCCGGAGCTATTCTCCCGAGGACCTTGGGGCCCCGGACAACGCGGCACTCGAACACGATGCCGTCCGCCAAAGAGCCAAGCAGTGGCGTCAAGGTATTGATGCTTCATGGCTATACTCAGAACGGGACCCTGTTCCATGCCAAAACAAGAGCAATGGAAAAGCATTTGCAGAAAGTATTTCCGGGCATTTCATTAACCTACCCTACCGGTCCTCTGCAACTCAAACCAAGCGACGTTCCGGGCTTTGACCTAAGTTCAAGTGAAGATCCGGACAGTATAGAAGCTTATGGCTGGTGGCGGCGGTCAGACACTTCCGATCCACCCGAATATGTCGGTCTGGAGGAAGGGTTAGAGACTATCGCCAAAGTTCTCGAGTCAGAAGGGCCGTTCGATGGTGTCATCGGATTCTCGCAGGGAGCATGCCTAGCCGCCATGGTCGCTTCGCTACTGGAGGGAGACTCCAGGAAACAAGCGTTCGAAAAAGCACGAGAGAGATCCACACTAGCGATCCCATATCCGGCATCCTTTGAGAGACTCAGTCACCCGCCACTCAAATTTTGTGCCGCGTACTGTGGCTTTCGGGCGCCTGGTGAGAGATATCGCGGTTTCTACGAGGAGCCCCATATCCAGACCCCAGTCTGTCACGTCATCGGCAGTCTCGATAGTGTCGTCGAAGAGTCGAGAACACAAGCACTGATCGATGCTACTGGCGGTGCAGAGAAGACACAGGTCGTGGCACATCCTGGCGGACACTTTGTGCCGAGCGGGAAGCAATATCTAGACATGATTGCAGGGTTTATCAAGCAGACCATGTCATCACATGGAGAGGCCAGCGGAACGGAGGAGAAGGCGGAAGATATGGATGTGCCGTTCTGAAGGCATTGGGCGCATCCATTGCTTTGTCGAACCTTGCAATTGATACCCGATAGAATCGATAGACCGGTCTAGAATACCTAGATGCGCCGCGCCAGAGCCTTGCAATCCTGTACCTCGTACCCGTGACTGTGCTGGTGAGTCAAAGGAGAAGGCAAAAAAGCGTATATAGACCGGTGATTGGCTGGGGCCTGTGGAGAACTTGCCGCTGTGGAGACCCTGGCTTTAGCGGTCTTGGCAGATGGCCGCACAACCCACGACTCCCTCAAAGTCGATTTCTATCGCCCCCTCGTCCATCGCAACACATCAATTGATCCATTGAATCTTCACTCCGACCGTCGAATTTCAGGCAGTAGCTGAGTAGCAAGCAGATACCTCAGATCGAATCCAAAAATCAGACAAAATGGTACGCACACCCGCGCCAAATGGACAACCCAGTCGATGGTGCTTAAAATTTCTCCTCCCGCCTTGACAAAGCACACGAGCACTACAAGCACCATCACCACCGACGCAATCATCGCCATCTCGACTAGTCGCTAACATTTTTGATCGCAGGTTCTCGCAGTTGATCTCCTAAACCCAACGCCTCAGGCTGAGGCCCGCAAACACAAGCTCAAGGTATGATATTGAAATCGCAGTCTCTAGGCTGGAAGTCATCAGAAAATCTAACAACCCCTCCAGACCCTCGTCCCAGCTCCGCGATCATTCTTCATGGACGTCAAGTGCCCCGGCTGCTTCACAATCACCACCGTTTTCTCCCACGCCCAAACCGTTGTCATCTGCGCAGGCTGCTCAACTGTGCTTTGCCAACCTACCGGTGGCAAAGCCCGACTCACAGAGGGCTGCTCTTTCCGAAGAAAGTAAACGACAAGGAACCAAAATGGAATGAAAACGGGATGGCATTGAGAATATTTGCTCGATAGAAGAAGGATTCCGCAGAAACTATGCCACCACGACAGGGAGTTCCGGATATCTTGCAAAAAAGAAGCCTTTATGAGAGCATGGCGGACAGATCGTTTCCTTCTTTTCGCAACGAACCCGGCGTCGAATTTTGTTCCAAGCTACGAATGGGGGATACCCTTTCGCAAAAAAGTCTTTATTGCATGGGATGACCGGGCAAGAGGCATCCGGATTCTGCATGAACATACACTTCACTGTTGTATTGTGAGGAGAGCAGGGTTCCGATGTTGAGGAAGGCCTATGACCTTGCATCAGGCTGATCTCAAAGTTATGGTGGGGACGTGGATAGTCATGTACTCGTAGTACAGAAGGCGAAACAACAAAATCTTCGAAAAGCATGTCCATTCTCTTGTCACTACCTGTCTCTTTCGACTGGACTCTCGGTTCGGTTCGGCTGCACCCGGTACACTACGATTGGGATATCTGCCTGCCTTTTGGTCTTTCTGTAGATTTCCGGCTCATCACAGGTCTCGCGAGCAATGCCCACATAGTCAGGCACCTGTCCTTTCCTCGACATGTTGGTAGTCATGCCATCGACATAGGCGCAGTCTGTGACTTGCCGATTTGAGAAACTCGGTCTCTCTGCGGTAGCTGTGCGCGGAATGTTTGCTGCTGGGTTGAGTCGTTTCCCTTTCGTTGTCCACGGGAAGAAGCCCATGGCTTGAAGTTTCGTTGACTGGCGCCGTTCCAAATTCAGCCGCGTTCCATATCCCCTATGATCCTATTCACTAGCTTCTTCTGCTCCCTCTCTTTTAACTCGTTCTCGTCCATCTCCCTCAGACATCGCCCAACGGCACAAATTCCCTTTACGCCAGCCTCAGGACACTCAACCCACACTTTCCCATTTTTGCCGACTGCAATCTCGAATCCGCCCTGAAGTTTCGAGCCCAGTTCCTCCAGCGCTGCAACACCTTGCTTCTTGAGAAGTCTCTCAGCAAGGCCGGGACTGACATCAAATACCATGCCACCGCTAAGCGGGCCCAACCCATCTGGTTCCGCCTTTCCCGTGGATGGATTCACACAACTTAATTCGATCTCCATGTTCTTCTGCGCTGAGACAACTTTGGCATAGACGAGGTCATTGGTTTTCAGTTGAGGTCTCGTCTTCTTGGTTGCACCCTCAAAGGCTAATTGTGGCAAAAAGGCTTGAGGCGAGTAACGGTTGATGTAGACATGGAAAAAGTCTGCAGTCGAGATTCGTACTTGAGCGATCACGAGGTCCCCTGGTCTGGGGATGTAACGAGCATCTGGAGTGGCTATTTGTGCAGTCTTCTTGCGGTAGTCAACATCCAAGAATCCTCCAATGGTCGCTAGGAAGTTGGCATCTGCTGCTTGTTGCAGTCCTTGGCCGATTTTGCGCTTTTGAGACGTTGGGATGTGACCAGTGGGAACTTGATCGCCAGGCAGAAATACCTGCATGGTGGATGTCCCAGACATGGGGTTTCAGAGCAATTTAAATTTGAGTTCGAAAAGTCTAACAAAGTACGGAGCAGCATCACAGATGAGGGGATGCATGACAAGGCTGGGCAAAAAAGTGGCAATGCTAAGATGGTGACAAGGCTGAGCAAGGCAGAGCAAGGCTGAGTGGCTGTGGTTCGCACTCGCTTAACCTTCCTTGAGCCGTGAATACGTCCGCAAGGCTCAAAAAAAAAGTTCCCAGGGTTTTCGTGGGTTCAAGTCCACAAACTTTTGTTGGTTCCCCGGACCAGGAGCCTTTCAGGATACTTGGGTACATACATTGTCTCCTGCAAGCATCCGAGTCTCTCCCTTGCAGTTCGGCCTTGCTAAAACACACCATGAGTGACGAAACAAACGGATTGGCACCCCAAGGGTCGCCCGAACACTATGCCATTGGTATCTCCTTCGGAAATTCGTACAGCTCAATTGCGCATATATCAGGAGAGGGCAAAGTTGAGGTCATTGCAAATGAAGAAGGAGATCGGCAGATCCCCTCTATTCTGTCTTATATCGAAGGAGAGGAATTTCACGGCACGCAGGCAAAGGCGCAGTTGGTCCGGAACAGCAAGAACACAGTTGCGTTTTTCAGGGACTTTATTGGCAAAGACTACAAGTCCATTGATCCAACACCTTGCCATGCCTCCGCTCATCCCATCGAGGAAAATGGCGAGATCTGCTTTGCTGTTCGAGACACCGCAGAGAGCGAAACAAAAAACAAGGTTCCGGTCTTGGAGGTTGCTGCGCGGCATTTGCGGCGGTTGAAGAATTCGGCCTCCGACTTCACCGGCAAGACTATAACGTCAGCTGTGGTCGCTGTGCCAACAGACACCGATGACGAACAAAAGGCCGCCCTGACGAAGGCCGCCGCAAATATCCAGGTGGAAATCCTCCAATTTATGCCTGAACCGATTGCAGCCCTTCTTGCATACGATTCGCGGTCTCCAGATGCTACCGTGGACAAAAATGTTCTTGTCGCAGACTTTGGTGGAAACCGATCTGATGTTGCCGTGGTAGCGTCAAGAGGAGGCATGTACAGCATTCTGGCCACTGCACATGATTATGAATTGGGCGGCACCCAGTTGGACCAAGTGTTGGTGGACCATTTTGCCAAAGAATTCGACAAAAAGTACAAGACCGACCCACGTAAGAATGAAAGGAGCCTGGCAAAACTCAAGCTCGAAGCTGAAGCGGTTAAGAAGGCTCTCAGCCAGAGCAATAGTGCCACCTTCAGCGTAGAAAGCCTTGCAGATGGCGTCGATTTCAGGTCTACAGTCAACAGAACGCGGTATGAAATTCTCGCTTTGAAGACATTTGGACGGTTTACTAGACTGGTCGAGGAAGTGATCAAGAAAGCCGGACTCGACGTACTGGACGTTGATGAGGTCATCATGTCTGGCGGTACATCGCATACACCAAAGATTGCGAAGAATATTGAAGCTCTTTTCCCGGAGTCGACGCAGGTTCTCGCACCGGCGACGACGCCCACGGCATTAAATCCTTCGGAGTTGTCAGCCAGAGGGGCTGCTCTGCAAGCTTCTCTGATTCAGGAGTTCGAGAAAGAGGATATCGATCAATCAACGCATGAAATGGTTACCGTCACACCTCACTTGACCGCTGCCATTGGCTATCAGGTGACAGGCCAGCCCGTAGATTCGTTCACGTTGATCATTCCTCCGGACACGGCCGTTCCTGCTCGAAGAACGAAAGTCGTCCAGGGTCTCGAAGGCGATGTTCTGATCCGAATCAGGGAAGGCGAACGAGAGATCACAGTCACGCACCGCGAGCCTCAAGCAAAGCCCGAAACCAATGGAACGAAAGAGGAGGAGGATGATGACGACGAAGATGAAGATGAGGAAGACGAGGCAGAAGAGATACGCGAGAAGGTCTGGCGACCCAAGCAGCCTCTGGCGGAGCTGGTCTTCAGGGGCCTGAAGAAGGGATCTAAAGTCGAAGTCACGGTCAATGTCGATGCGGAGCTGGCCCTTTCCATCACCGCTCGGGAATTGGGGGGGAAAGGGGGCATTCGCGGCGAGATCAAAGCATCCGAGACGGCGCAGCAGAACGGAAGCGCTTGAGAAGGGGTCTTGTTCTTCTTGTTCTTCTTCCCCTTGCTACCTATATTTTTTGAACCTGGCATGGCGTCGGCGTGGATGGATGGATGGATGGATGGATGATATGTGTTTTCGATACTGTATTTGCTGTCCGTTTGAGACACTCAAAAGAAAAGAACAGAACAGCAGTCGCTGGCTGGCTCGCTCACTGCTGATGATGAGATAGAACAAGCGTCATTGGTTGACTGTTTCTTTCCTTTTGTCAAAAGTTAGAATCGAGAAATATCATGACTTGAGAAGCACTTAATTCTGAATAGATACCCATATCATTACGCGCACGCGCAGGTACGCACGGCCATCATGACATCTAATTGTGTGGTACACCTTGTTTTGAACGGGATGCTTGACTTTTGTTGTTTTCGCTATCATGATTTATCAAACAAGACTTTTATGCGCTGGTATATGTATTTGACGTCGCACACTCTAGGCTCCTTCGCGCTCCTCATCCCTCCTCTCTGACATTCTCTCCTCCCGACTCTTCCGCTCCGCAAACAGCGCCAGTAACCCAAGGTCATATGTCGCCTTCAGGGAACCGGCCGCGACAAATGCAATCCAGAAGTGATTGTTTGTTCCGAGGACGCCGGTGATTACGGGACCCATGCTCTGGGCACATGTCTTGACAACGTTGATGGTTCCCATGACAGCGGTGCGTTCGTGTGGCAGAACAATCGCCGCGAGGAACGCGGAGCGCGGAGCTACGTCCATGACTTGCGTGCAGGCACGACCGATGAGGAAGGCGAGGGCGCCAGACAGCGTGGAAGGGATAGGGATCAATGCGAGGCAGATAGCCGAAGGCAGGTGAGTGAAGACCATGGTCTGGTGTCTGTCAGTGCTGTCGCTACTCCGGGAACTCATTCTTCTTTCTTACCTTGACATTCCCTATCCTCTTCGATATGGAGGATGCCACCAGCATGGAAAGCGCAGAGATGATGCCTGTGATGGAGAATATTGACCCCAGCTTGCCCTCGGGCAAATTGAATTTGCGCTTGAAGAAGTAGGTCACCCAGGATCTGAACTTGTCAGCCAGCGCTCGGGGCTAGCTTTTCAACTCTGTTCGGAAGACTTACAAGGGCGCCAACCCGGACGCGAAATTGTCAAACGCGAATAACACACACAGTTGTACCAAGACGACTTGACTTTCCTTGCTGATTTCCGGCAAGAGCCTCCATCGTCGCTTCTTCGGAATATCATCGTCCTTAATCTGCTCTCCTCGATCATTGCCCAGCAAGGGCGCCGTCTCGGTGGGGTTCGCGGACTTTGGCTGAGCATCAACTTCACAATCTTTGCTAAGCATAAGAGCCAGGCACAGCTTGGTAACGCCGACGGCTGCGTAGATGACATAAATGATGCGATAGGCCTGAACAGAATCGTAGTGCTTTTGATGTTGAAGCAACGTGATGATCCAGCCACATCCGATGAACCCTAGTGCTGTGCCCGCCGTCCCGATCAGAGAATACCAAGCGTAAATGTCGCTGCGATCAGAACTGGCGGTGAGATGGGCGATGGTTGACTCCTCGATTGCGCGGAAGGGCCCAATTTCATTGCCACTAGAAGAGTAGACCGTCAGTCAGCAAGGGACATGCTCAGGCATTAGAAACACAGCGGCGATAACACATACGCAGGACTGATGACGCCCAGAATTGCTGCGGCCAACAGAACCCAGTAGTTTCCACTCAGGGCAAACACCACGCCGCTGGCCGACATCAAGGCGGCGCCCAGCACGAGAATCCATCTGCGTCCCAATTGGTCGGCTATTAGGGTCAATAGAAAACTAATAAACACATCCCCGATCAATGTTAGGGTCATGAACAGGCCAATCCGTGCATCTTCATTGCCTAGGTCGGAGAGGTAGGAGGCGAGGATCAACGTTGAGCCGCCGTAGGCGAAGAGGCGCACGAAGCGCTGGAGGATGAGGATTTTTGTGTCCCAGGGCGAGCGATAGATGGTTAGGAGACCGACTTCTTTGAGAAAGGCTTTGACGGGGCGGAGGATCTTGGAGGGTGTGTCTTGATGTTGTTGGTGGTGTTCTTCTGTTCCCTGAGAGTCGGCCATTGTTCTCGAGGGTCCTCACATGTGCTGGGAGAGAGATTGGTGCTCAATGCTTCAAATACTTCAAGGGAGGAGAGCGAGGAGGGAGTAGCCGTCGAGGTGTCTGTCCCTGGTCTTGTATTTGTATTCGATATGTACAGTGATGTATGTCATTCTCGGCCTCGCTTGGTCCGTTCTCGCTTATAACGTCGGAGCTGCAAGGCCGAGGATGGTGACGAAGACTCTCGAATTTTACTCCTCGCTCTGTCTTTCCGGTTCGGGCAAAATCCAGCGAGTGGGAGATGGTCTCTGTCGAGGGTAGATGTTGTCTGGACTGTGCAAACTCTGTCGAACGGTCTCCAACAGCTGCCAGCCTGAGGGTCGTTCGCGCTACTTGCACGGAGTAGAAGTAAGTCTCTCTTGAGCACGGTATATTGGCCGCATCAACATCCAAGACGGTGATGGAATGAAATGACGAAATGACAGAATGACAGAATGACAGCCAGAATGACCAAAATGACGTAGCAAGCCCATTTCCCGTGCTGCCCGCTTACTAGTAGAACAATCTTCCACTTCTCCTGCTTCTCCTTCTGCTTTTGCTTCTACCGCCACATGCAACCCTGGTCAGCTGTGGTGGCCAGCTAGCCTCCGACCGATCCCGCGAAAACATGTCTCTGATAACTGGCCATTGGAAACTCCATCAGCGCACCCGTGGGAAGCATTATAGTATGCGAAACAACAATAGTCGGGTTCAATGCTTTCCATTCGGTCTTCCACCATGAGCATTTGGCTATCGACATGCCTCGAGATCCTCAACCTGTTTGTCCTGACGTTCCGTTGCGCCTTGCCTTGCCTGTCTGCCATATCCCGTGAATCCTCCACCCGTCCGTCGTGAACCTTGTGCCCCCAGGTTCCTCTCCTTATTCCCTCAGCCTCAGCCTCACCGGCCTGTGCATACCCCCTCTCCGCCTCGCAGGACTCGAGAGGCCCTCCTCTGGAGACCATGTATGCGGCGGGTGTTCCAGTTCGCTGAGGAACCCTTTGGCTTATTCCACCACTGGCGTCGCTATAGAGGCGCCGAAGGTTGTCCACATCATGATCGGCCAGCTGATAGTGCCGGCCATCCATATAACTGTGGCAAATATGCTCAGAGACAAGCGACCATGAGAGTCATCATGCCGAAGCAAAAAGGCAAGAAATCCTCGATCGTTTCCCAAAAACAACGTCTCTGCCTAGAAGATATTGACCTCCCACGCTGAGGTGATAGCGTCGCACGACTGGGTGAAGATGACGTCCAATCCGTGGTAGAGACCAGCCAAAGAAATCGCAGCGTGAAGGTGTCGTCGATAACTCGGTGTAGTTCTCGTCGGAGTCGGCAATGCGCGTAGGAGATTACCGCATCTATCTCGTCATTGAGCCGACGTGTTGCCCCAGAAAATGAAGAGAGAAGAGAGGTAAGATGTGGTGAAGCGAAGGGAAGTGCCTCCCACCCCAGTTCGAAAGCGTCAGGGGAAGAGCCTCCAAACTATCTTCTAGCCGACCGAAGAAGGTAGGAATGCATTTCAATTCCAAAGGCACAACAGCGTCTGCCAGTGCTTTGCCGATGTCCCGCAGCCCCTGAAGGGATCATGCAGACTTTCCAATTCGTGTTGCGGAATGAGAGAGTCGAATGTTTGCCAGATAGCCCAGCTGAATGCTGGGAAGGATCCGTCCTGGAGAGGCATGCCGGTTGGAGCAGGGACAGGAGCGGTGGAGAGGGTGGAGATAATAGCTCTGTGACCACTTGCGTAAAGGGTTATCGTGTGACTTTTCGTAGGTGCGGTCATTGCCGAGACGAGGACATGATGGATGGTAGAGTTCACTGTCGTGGTGACAGGAGGAGGCGCCTGATGCCAGGACACTGCCAAAAAGGGGTGTAGAGTTCTGGTTGAAGAAGGGAATGATGGATTTGGAGAGAATATGTTAGTGACGGTAGATGGGAAATGCATTGAAGGATGAATGGAGAGTTTGGACGTCTGGGGCAGGAGGAAATGTTTCTGGGAGACCACACAAGTGGTGGAAACTTGGCGATTGTAGAGGATGAATGGCCACAATTCACTCAGCTGGTTCCTTCAGTGAATGGTTGATTTTGGTGTTTTTGTGCCGGGTGTGGCAGAGCAGCCAGAGGTCGAACCATTCTTCCCTCCGCCCATGGTAGTGTCCATCTCTGTCATATCATCCCGAATTTTCTCCCTTATAACAGGGTCTCTCTCTCTCTCTCTCTCTCTCAGAGAGATCATGTGTGGCGCGTTGTGCAGTTTTCAGAGATGCTACAAGCTTTTTAGACTTGCCTTGATAATTTGGCTCTGCCGTTCGCATCGTCGTCCAAAGCCCATCCTTTGCTCTGTGTTGCCTTCAGCAGGAGTTGCGACTCCGCTGTCTGCTTGCTTCTGAGAAACATGGAACTTACAATAAAGGAAGCACGGCTCGACTTATAGTCTCCAAAGGACGTGAGCCCAGTAGCGACCGCCCCAAACATTCCCCTAGCAGATTATCAAGGGTCCTGGCTTCATTCTCCCACTGCCGTCACTGGAAGTGATTGTCAGACATCCTAACATCCCAACAGCTGAGACGGCTGGTCGCTTCACCGACCAGATCTGCAGACTGCAATCGGCTGTACTGGCGGTTAATGATTTTGTTAGCCAATGGAGCTCCTATTATTTTAGCCTGCGATCGCGCCATCCTTTAAAGGGAGGGTAAAAGACTCGAATGCAGCTGTGGAGTGGGGCCGATCCAACATTGTGAATGATTTGGAGGCGGCGAGGAGGCATCGAATCTGGAGTGCAGCGATGCAGGTTTACTTGGGCGTGATTGCTGTTTGGTGTGGCTCCCCTGGAAGAACTACACATTGGGTGAATCGTCATCGCTTACCCCATGGGCCATGGGCAGATAGCAGAATAGATGAGAACGGAAGCAGACCATCAGATCAGGGAGGGTTTCAGGAGTTAGGACGTCGCCGGTGGCGGTGAATGAGCAGGTGGATGTGAAGGGTTCAGTTGGGCGAATTGCGAATTGCCGTCAGCAAGGAACTACAGCTCAGCCTCACCAGCCTTGTGATGTACTCCTTATATTCACAGCCTTGCCGATGCGACCTGATCCTGATCGTAAAGCTATCCCAGCCTTCAACATTTCTGGGTGCATCGATAGTCAGACAGGTTACCTGGCTCTGTTACAATCTATCATGTCCTCCATTGAGTCACACTTCGTGATCCTGGGGAGTGCCAAGGGATGTAATGATCAAGGACCCCGTCAGTAACCCCTATATAATGTCTTTGGAAAGGGCCCGGTTATGGAAGCCATCCCCCTCTCATATCAGCTTCGGCCCACGTAGATAAAGGCAGTTTGGCCGTCATCAATTTTTCCCGAGGTACAGTAATGAAGGTCAAATCCGAACTGTTTTCCTCTTTGGGGCCTTCGGTGATTGATAAGCGGAAACATCATATCGTGTTCTCTTCATAGAAAGTCGGAATGTCTCCAGGCACCATATTGTTACAGTACCTCTCTACTCGATACTCTTATGCTGGACACCGCCAAATCACTCCCACTGATCATCCCCTCTCAGCCACCATTTCTGATATGACGACCCGTTCCAGCCAGACATCCATCGCGCAAGGAGATTCGTAGGAGCTGCAACGTCGAATCCTACCGCGAGTCCCGAGTCAACTATTTCCTTGTACGCTGATAATGCCCACTGCCTGTAAGGGCCAGGAAGCGCTACGGCCGCCCGAGGGAGGTTCAGATGCATGAAAAATGCCCCGACTGGTTTTAGTGGTCGGACAAATTCGAAGCATTTGCAGATATTGATCGCGGCCTGTGCTTGTTCGCGTCGATGTTTCGACGTGATATAATCAGGGAAATAATGTTGTATCAGTGCCGAGACGAGGATGAAGAGTTTCCACACGTTGCACAGAGTCTCGCAGAGTCTCGCCTCGGAGATTCGGTAGTATGTTTCGAACGGGAATATCGTTGTCTTCGGAGTTCGCTTCAATCACGGATGCGCGATCGCCTATGAGATTCTTCACCTCCTCGTCCATGTGGGAAACCCTTCTCCAGTCTTGTTTCTTAACAAGCAGACTATGGTGGCTAATCGCGCGCAACATTTAAGGTATTCGAAATTGATCAGTTCGCGGGCTGGGATTAATGGTCGAGGAGCGGCTCTGTCAAACACTTCCGTCCATTCCAGTTTGTCTAGGAAGCATTCCTGACCGGTTGACAACGATACAGCAATCTGGGAGATAATGAGCACGTTTGGCCAGGGACGCACACTCATGCTTACTGACCAGTAAAGAGGCCATCACCTCGAGCAAATCCAGAGCCCATGCAGATCGAATACTACCTGCTCCCCAAGCTTTAAGAATCGCTTCCGCCCCACTGGCATGGCCAAGGACATTTTCGACACGACCGCAAGCAATCTGCCAGCCCGTCAGGCCTGTTATCCGAACGATATGCCGTAATTTTATATCACGCACCTCGAAGTCTCCGAGGACCATCATTGCTGCAACAACGGCTTCTTTCATGTCGCGAAGTGCTTTGCTGCACAATTGATGCTGATGCTGCTCCGTCATCCGAGCAGGGCAAAGTAACTTCGTATGTGCCGACAGAAAGCACGCAATGGCGGAATCCAAGGCCTGGTTCTCGCCGACACGAGCTGGTAATTGGACGAGATGCTTGCCTGCCAGTTCTAAGGTGAAACCGGTGCCCTTTGTGTTCTCAATAGCGTACACGAGTCTGCCAGAAAGGCTCTGGTCTTCGCTTAAACGTGGCGACGCCACGAGAGCTGGGGAAGACGACTCTAGAGCTCGAGCCGCCAAGGTCGGTGAGTGTCTTTGTTGGTTCCAAGGCTTGGTTGCATGAGAACGACGGTTTTGAGGCACGCTCCACCTGATCTTCGCCGGTGCAAAGGACACAAGAGATGCGTCCCCATCCAATTGAGTCCTGGAAAGCGTAGCAGGTCCGGAACATTCGCGGCCGGATTTTTGACAATTGAGACAGACCGGCTCGTGCTCATCGCACTGCATTTATCAGCTTAGACTGTCTCCCTCAGATGAACTCTCCAGGGTTTATGTCAGGTTTACCTTGATTTTGCGCATTTTGCAGGTACTGCACCCCAATGAGTGTCCGCCCGCCATATCCTGCCACTGAATCAAAGAGAACCCGGTCGCAATGAGGTGGAATAGAACTTAGCGGTCCGCATTGAGAAGCCAGAAGACGTATCTGTTTTTATGTAATAAATGAATCGGGCACAGCCCCGGCACTAGCACGAGTCTCGCCGACTTCAGGTATGCGGTGCTACTGGGCGCATCAGTGGGCCAAATATATACTACCTTGCCTAGTGAGGCATCCAACGGCGAAGCCCCTTCTGCCCAGCTGAAGCGTCTAGCTACTACTGCAAACAAGTTGATTCCCACTATGCCACATTCGTGGTCAATGATCATCGTATACTAGATACATGCTCAAGCGCAAAGTGATTGATCGAATGAAAAGCCTTCTCTACCTTATTTAGCGCCTGCGAAGTTTCGAGCGTTTTTGTTCCACCATGGATACTCGTTTCTTGTTTCCACTGGCGCGATCTCGACAGTAAATCCTCCGCTTCTCTGTTGACCCTGCAGCCAGTCAACTTGTCCATCAAAGTGACGTCTCACGTATCATAGACAGTACCGACACCTGGCAGTGTCAGATCCACTAAGTAGTTGTCTATTGCACGCTGAGTATCTCCGTGTAAGCTGTAGGAAGTGTGGCCGTCCCCTCTCCGGGTAAGAAGGACAGAATCTTCGATTTCGGTCCAGAGTTTGACAGCCATCTCGTACAGAGTTTCGGGGTCAAACAGAGCATTGACAACAAGAATGTGTGTCGACACACCGGTAACATTCAGCGGCTTTTCACGGTTGACAACCGGAGACGACCAGCCTAGACAAACTGCTTGCGCTGCGGTAACTTCACTGACGCCTTGAAGGCGAGGAGATACACTGCGTAGCAAATTCTATCGATTGGTCCACTCGGCCCAGCTGCTGTTCCACATCCAGTCCTGACACGAGATGGCACTTTATGAGAAGTCCGTATTCGAAGGAGCCGTATACCATGGTTTGGAAAGGAGCGTCGCATTGCCCTTATGAGCCTCCTTCACACCTTCCGCGAGTACGCCCCAGGTGCGTTCCTGGAGTGTATACTCTTGGATTATTGTCTTCATCTCTTCGCCACTGACATTCGGTCGGCATGGACGGCTTAACGAAGTCTCTTGTTTGCACCCTGGGGCGGGGATGGGTTCCTATTCAGCTGCCGCAAACACTTCATCACCATTGCCGAGACATTGAGTCCTTTCAAAACTGAATTCTCGCTTGCACTCGCCCACTCAATGAAGTGATCAAGGACAGTCTCGTAGTCTTTTAATTCCCCCGCTGAGAAGCTGGTCTTTTTAAAAGAGCGGTCGGTCGCACCATCGAGCACCATTGCCCGTATTTTCGACGGGAAGATCTCGGCGTACTGAGAGCCAAGTTTGCATTCCGTATGAAAACCCCAGGCAGTTGAGGCCACCATCCCCTAGAGAAGGCGTATTGCTTCTAGATCGTGGGCAGCACTGATAGTGTCAGAGTGACTGAAACTTGCACCAGTCCGTTTCATACAATCGAGGCCAAGCTTACGCCAGAGCGCAACCATATTGTGGAAGGCTGCTTCGGTTCTGGGCTGCTTCGATATACGCTGGTTCCAAAGGCCGGGGTCGCACTGCATTGGAGCACTCAAACCAGTGCCTCGAGGATCAGGACCAACTAGGTCGAAGTATTCTCGCAGATACACACTGCTGCCTAATACATTGTTATAGGCGAAGTTAGCTAGGAATGTACTACCAGATCCGCCCGGTCTATCAATCAGGTTAGTCCTAGGTTGTAGCTGATAGAGGGTAAATGAAAACCATAGTGTTGCTCGTGCACATGACCATGAGCTTACTTACCCGCCAGGGTTTAGGACGAGACTTCCGATCCGCTTCTCTGGGTTTGTAGCCGGAGCCTTGTTCATGAAAAGCCTAATTTTCGGCCCTTTGGGGTGCTTCCAGTCCACCGGAACCTCAAGCTCTAAGCACTAGAAATCTGAAGGAAAGCTATAGTCTTCGTTGCAATTGTGCTAGTTGAGTGTTGGGCCCTGGGCTTTGTTAAGTGGCGAGGTTGAAGCAAAGTTGGGAGGGTAAAGCAAAGTTAGGAAAAGTGATGAGGACAAGAATGTCAACATCATGTTTGCGAATGTCACGAACGTCGGATGGTTTCTGCTTGAATATGCGAGAAATACGAAGGAAAGGGAAGAATAAATTGGTATATTCTGGTCAAATCGACAATAGATGCTAATCTAATACTTATACCTCTTCCTTCGCAAGTTCAAAAGACAGTATCATATAGCGCGTTGTTGCTCAATTTACCATTCCGAAAGAACGGATGGGACCAAGTCGAGTGACGCCCGAGATGATGCCTGAAATTTCGGCTCTCTGTCCAGAATCAGTAGTGAAGTTAACAAGGTCGAGCCTTTGATGGCAACCAAGCCTCGAAGCTGAAAGTCATCCAGCACAATATTCCATAGCGCGAATTCCACCGACCGAGTTCCGTGGACACCTAGCGCCCAATTAACAGCAAGACTCATCAAGGATAATCTCATCGCGAGTTTTGAGGTCCTCCAACCTTGTTTGTTTAGCCCCTCTGTGTCTAATGGCCTGAAAACTTTCGTGCGATGTAGTAAATAGTGTTCAAGACGATCAGCTACGTCCAGAAAAGTTGTGGTCTTCCCTCGGATTCTAACCCGATGCGGTAGGTAACCTTGAGTATTGTGGGTATGGGCGGCCTTATAATCACTTGGCCAGACACCACATATAACAATGCTACTCTACAGTAACCATTTGGCACCAGATCAACCAGATCATTCTGCATTCCGGACTCGGAGTATGCGAGAGCCTTTTGCGGCACCACACGCGTGGCTACTCTCCTCAATCGCCCCAGTCCTTTCATTTTTCAGCTGTCGGCCACCCATTCTCATCGTTTCCCCAACTGCAGGTACCGATCCGAGAGGCAGACGTAGCCGATTGGCAGGGGGTCTGATTTGGCCCTTGGTGTTTTGCTCATGGATGTTCAGCGAACGGCTCAGTTAAAGCTCAGGTAAAAGCGTAGTGTGCCTTGAACAGCATGAGCACAAACAGGAGCCTGTGCAAGGACCACAACTTGGGCTCTCTGGGTTCCCACTTTCTGGCGCTTCGAAGCTTCAGGATAGCCCCGTTCCGGATCCCTTGCTTAGTTATTGTTGCGATGAGTCCTCTCGAGGCCACTTTCCGGGCTAAAAACCGCTGCCAAGGATGGGCAACTTTTAATCAAACCGTCACGTAGCTAACTCTGGCTGGCCGTTTCCAAGATTCCGTTCTACTGATAAGACTGTAGTTCAATTTTGTCCTTCGCAAAAGTGGACACGACGACGCCAACAATCAGACAAGTGCGCCGAACGGTACACCGATGACCTAAAGGCATGCCAGGGAGGAGGTCATTCACTTGTCGAAGTTGGATTCCGGCTACGCACTGGCACCGTGCCTTGAATTTCGACGTTTCTGGCTGACAGGGTATCTAACCAATTCTGTTATGGTCATGCGGACGAGAAATTGGTCGTGTAAGGTAGACTCATCCAGGTAGAGCACTGAACAACAATTATCCTTTAGCTGGAGAACGATCCAATGGACGATATCGAATTGCCATGTGTAGTGTAACAGAGCACTTCAGGGTTCGGCATGCACGTGCAACAACGCACAGAAGCCTGTCCAGCAGGTCGGGAATCGAGAACGCGTTTCTGGTTGACGCTGACAAGACAACACCAGCACCAACTCCACCCAGAGAGGCAGCGGCTAGGGCAACGAGCGCCTAGCACGGCGGTGGCATTGTGGAGATAGGACAGAACTGATAAAACACTCAGGAATAGGTAGACGGCATCAAAAAACCATGGGATGCATCACACTCTGTTCACTCTGTAAAGAATGGTACACTGCCAGCACTGTAAACTGTTCCACACTCCCCCTGCCAGCCCATTTTGGTTCGACACGTGACTAGTCAACTCTCCCCCTGCTACCAGTCTTCTAGCCCAGCATAGCGCAGCCACTTTGCCTTATTACAGTATACGACCTTCAATCGAGTGCAGACCACGCACTATTCTTTATCTTCTACAGTAAATGGATGACGCGGCTCTGGACGATGCGAGAAGCATTTGTAGCATATAATCTGACCTTCTAATTCACGGACAGTCCTGCCACTTGGAGGAGTCTACGGCAATGTATGCTGAATGATTTTGGAAGCGATCGTGACTTGTCACACATTATGGGACTCCGGGCCCACGATCGATTAAACGACATTGTAAACATGCAGCGCAAGAACACTTCCCTTGTAAATTTCTGGCATGGGCTCCAAAGCCGTACGACTCCGAGACAATCAGATGCAGCAGTCTGTGCTTCGATCTTGATGGGCTCTGACCTCGGCCAAGTTCTTGCAGCACTCGAGGACGAGAAAATGCAGACTGTCTGGGCATGTTTAAGCAGACGTCCCAGCAAGCGTGCTCTGGAGGACTGGTCACCGTTTGACGGTGGACGGCTTCCGCAGGGCGCAGAGTGATCTGCTATAACCTGCTCAAGGCGGAAGTTTCTCTGCAGACGCCTCGGTTGGCACGCCCTCCAGATCAAAGTCTGGTCGTTGCAGGAGTCGGCGCAATTGTTCGGGATCAGTTTGTCTTGCCAGATTATGACTCGGCGGGTGATGCACTTTGTCTTGCCGGAAGGCCCGCAGAAATATCACATTATTAAAGGAACGGGCAACCCTGCGTGGGCGGGCATAGAGGGCTTTTAGACCAGACACGTCGCACTGCTGCTACATCAACTTCCCACTGATAATCACCCAGAGTTCGGTGCCCTGGTTATGCCCATTGATGACATCTACAAGGGAACAGAAAGAGCACCTGAGCACCCTGTGGCGCGATGTATTGCGTAAGTTGTTGTTATTGTCGAAGGCGGACAATATGACCATGTTGCCTTCAAGGACATTGACGCCTTCGATGAGGCACACGCGCTGTCGTGCACATAACGCTGGAGACTCTGGACATGACCGGGTCACCGCGGCAGACTGACAAGTCGCAGAGTGGTGTATATTCTGATCTGAGGTAGTGGCCAATGAGCCTTTGGAGAGGGGGGACTTCGTAACATGTGGGAGCCACCACGAATCTCTCTGAAACGCTTGTATATTCATATCGACGAGAGCAAACGCTCTCGCCTATCCATATCACGGGGGTGCCGCCTCCCCTGCCGTAGGAGTCAGATAGAATGCACACCACATAAAGCGCACGCCGAGTGAACGGGATATTGCATTGCTAACATATCGACTTAGCTAAGAGTTCCACAGCGCCGTAACAAGAACTGAACACGGAAGTGCCGATGGCCTCACACCTCAGGGTATTAATACTGTTGAACGAAGGTTGAGTTGTGGATGTGTCTGGTTGATTGTGTTCTGTCCCCCTGGCTATTCAGAGAGACTCTGCCTGTTTATATATACATTGGCCTGTAACCATAAGAGCATTCCTGAAACCTCCTATTCCGTCGCCATCCTACCACAGGTCTGCAGGAACAACGAGGTTGAGGCGGTTTGCGCAGTTGGTGAAGCGCCTAGCGTCTGAGATGGGTTGCCCCAGTGGCGCTCTCGCGACCCTGTCAACAAATACACAGCAAGGCGGATGTTGCCCGCTAACCGGCTGTGTAGACACCCTGGTTCCCCGACTTAAGCTTGGATTGCACTTGAACCATTTAGATAGTGTCTCACGCCCTTACAAAGATCAATCGAAGCAGGACCTGACACTTCCCACAGTTCACGATACATCTAGGGCTGGATTATCTTTCCGCCGGTTTGTGCAGCATCCCAGACATAGCAGGCTGTCTACTGTTCAAGACCTCCACACCTCTTCGCTTTCGTTCTTGAAGCAACTCACCCTTGATGAGGGTCGGTTCAGGTATGTAATTGGGACAGACAAAATCAGTTTCATTTAACCCTGTGAATCGACTAACATGACCGCTTCTCAGCACATCCAAGGACAGCGAATTCCCCGATTCCATCGTCCTCACGGTAGGAGATACCTCATTCTTGACCAACCTTGGGCGGCCAGTCAGTCTTTTAAAATGCCGCTCACCCGACTCGGGTTGTCTTACTCGCGTATCCTCGAACTTGTCCTGATCCCCAGCACCCTTCGCAGCCTTGCTCACTCTATTATCCGTAACCGACTCACAGAATACACCGGAGGCCATTATCAAACCTTCTCCGCCGCTTGGGGCAGTTCCCATTCTTGCATTACCTGCGTGGACAGGTTACGACAACGGCTAAGCCAGTAGAATTACATCCCCGGACCCCTTCCCCAGAATCTAGCATGTGACTAGATGTGTCTCGCGCGGTATGGATCGGCACTCCTACTTCGTGTCCGCGCCATGACCACGAGTCGACCGTGACCGCAGTCAAAGCCTGGTGTAAAGTTCGCTACACTTGAGCCTTAGTAGCCGTTGTCAACATTGATCGTCTGCACAGTGGACAAAACTCATGGCCTCTGCGCCACCAGCCGTCGATGCAAGCCCCGTGAAAGACGTGGAAACAAACCAGTTCTCGTATCTGGTATTTAGGCTTGATAGGGTAGAGGCAAATAGCACTTCAGAAATCAGCACGAGCGTCCAAGTGGGAGAAGAGTGATGCCTACCATACGGGTGTGTCGGACAGACTGGCAGGTGTAGCGATGCGTGAGGCTGCTCTCACCTGCTTCCACGTCTCAGCTTTCAGTAAGGGTGAAGTTTCGTTGAGCGAACGGACCGTGTACTCTGGGTACAGAATCAACGACCCCACGTTGATCCTTGACGACCCGTCGAATGGAGTTTGTCTTCTGTGCCGACCAGTCACTCTGAGATGAAGTTAACAATCTACCCACCATTGCACCCGTATCCTGGCGGAGACATACATTACCATGAACGCCATGAAGACACAGAAGACGAGGAGCGGCAGCGCCCGTTTCCATCTGCCGGTGAAATGGCATTCCCAGTCCATGTCCTCCTGTGGACGGGTCTCATTCCAGCTTTGAGCATCAAGTGATCCATTGAACGGGAAGGCCGGCATCTTTGACACCTGTCCTATGTCTCTGATGGACAAATCCATTCGTAAACTCATAAATCGAAGTGAGTGTCTATTGAACATAGAGTCGTAAATCAAAGTGTGCTCAAATCCAAGGCGATCACGAAGGTACATTTACTTGTCGGGGCACCTTGTGCAGGCGTCGCGGCAGCCGGTCATGTTTGGCAGTGGGCTAAGATTTCAACTCCCAATTCTGGACGTGCCCACGCGCGCACAGGACACCTGATATCGCAAAATCACTACTTGCTGGTCATACAGAATTCGCAGGTGAGTGGAGGAGGCGTCCATCGGGATGATGAGACATCTTACGTAAGTCGCCGCAAAAATCGTCACGTGGCCAGTGTTTACGGAGGTGTGCGCTGCTTTCAAATGACTTGGAGCACAACCCTAACGGCGAGTGCAATAGGCGAGCGTCATTCCAACCCACTACTTCCAATTTGAGCGTGCGAGAAACACCACTGTACTTGGTAGGTGCACATCTCCGTAAAGACTCTTGGCGAGGTGGCCGCATATTCAAGTTCGAGTCGGCGCTTGTCTCTCCTCGACCAACGTCACAAGCCGGATGCCCAGGAAATGAAGGGGGCCGATTAAGAGATATTGGTGGAAGAATGCCCTACCTCTTCCAAGACTAGAACTATGCTGGACGTTGGTGCCAAGGTTTGGGGTCTTGCCAGTGTAACCAGAATGGTCCTTGGCCAAAGTGACACTGAAAATGACGCCTGACAGGGCGTCGGAGTATTGTACAGTAACGCGGTGAGGACGGTCCATAGCCTACTTGTTCCATCGTCTACACATTCTGGCCGCCCCGACCGTCTGAAGGCATTTTGTGTTCTTCGGACATCTTTTTTCGAAAGGCCACGGCTTTATTCTTTCTAGAGACCATCGAATTCCATCTTCTGCCTCGGTACCATTCGTACGTCAATTTTCGACCCATCACCCCCAACGGGCCTTTGCTACTCGGGTATGGCGATTTGCGAACATAGTCCCTTGCCCACCAGGCCCAGGTTCAGCCGATCGCTGGGGAACTAGATTAGGCCCTCATCGCAGCTCAGCCTATTCCCGGCATGTGTTCGGGAGGTGCGCAGGGAGTGCTCCGCAAGGCTCAGTTCAAGCTCAGGGTAAAGCCGCCTTCGTTCACCCTTTAGGATTGAACAGTATTTGGGAAATAGATTTTTCGTCCGTGAGTATTGAGTAATCTAGGTAGAATAATAGGCTCGGAGCCCCCATCTGGCTCGCTAGCCTTGCTATGGGAAAATAAAGGGGCGAGCCTCGGTCACGCACTGTCTCGCTCCGCAGTCCCGGACGCTTTACCAGGTAGATATTTTAAACCCCTCGAGGTACGCTGTTCTTGTGGTGCTCGCGGTATTCATTCTTCGATCTCAATCACCACCTTGCCAAAGAATTTCTGCGCTCTCAGATACTCGTAAGCCTCTCTGGCCTGCTCCAACTTCCACGTCTTCTCGTCTATCACGGGTCTTATACCATTCTCCTCGATGAAAGCCAGCATATCCCTAAACTGCCTTTTGCTGCCCACGAGCACACCTCGCACGAGACAGGCACTCGCAAAACAGTCCCAGAACCCAGTCTGCCTCTGACCAGCTGCTGCTTCGCCTCCGAGGAACCCGATGATCGAGATGATGCCTTCTGGTGCGACGGCTTTCAAGCTTTGCTCCATCGAGGTCTCGCCCCCAACTTCAATGACATGTTGCGCTCCGGTGCCTCCATGTCTCTCGATGTATTCCTTCGCGGCGATGCCCCATTTTGGATCCTCGCGGTAGTTGAGCACAATGTCTGCCCCGAGGTCCCGTAGCCGCCTCTCCTTCCCTTTGTCTCCTGTCGTAGCCACCACATGAGCCCCGAGTGCCCTGGCGAACAGCAAGGCAAAGATACTGACACCGCCAGACCCCTGGGTCAATACCCAGTCTCCGCGCTTCAACGCCCGTCCCTCGACGCCGAACAGAGCATTCCACGCCGTCAAAGCTGCACATGGCAATGTGCTTGCTTCCTTCGCGCTGAGAAACTCGGGCACCTTGATCAAACCCTTAACCCCGAAGACGGCGTGTTTCCTAAGCACCCCATCATTCAACCCTCCGAGACTGCTTGCGCGACTTTGCTTTGTAGGATACCCGTCTTCGAAGTCCTGGAAGAACGTAGGGCATACTTTATCCCCGACCTTGAGGGACTTCACATCGCTGCCGACTGCGACCACCACACCGGCCCCGTCTGAGCACGGCACGACGTCTTCTTTGGTGTAAGCGGGATATAGCCTGAGCGGCATTGCGATATCGCGATAGTTGAGGGAGACCGCGTGCATAGCCACGAGGCAGTCATGCGGGCCCAATGGCGCCACGGGCATCGAAGCGTCGAGCTGGAGGCCATCGAAGCTGCCGGCGGTGAGGTCTATTCGATATCCAGAGGTGGTCGTGGGAATGGCAGCCGCCATGATGGATTCTGATATCGGCCGCCAGATCAGAAATCAACAGCTCCTAAATAGCACGACCCTGGTGACTCCAGAGTAACCCCTCAATGCTGACAAATATGTCTTCTCACAGAATATCAAGTGCAATTCTCGACGTAGTCTTACCACGAGAGGGAATATTGTTCTCTACCATGGTTCTATTTGGACAGACTTGCTTTATACTTGAATGGATGTGGAGAATATGCAACCCCACACAATTCAGCAGCAAAGAGAGGGGCAGAGAGAGAGAGAGAGAGAGGCAGAAGTATACCTACCTGGGTACCTAGGAGGATGATCCAGCAGAATAGGTACACAGGCAGAAATGATGTGTGACTCACGATATCGAATGGCATGGTTGAGATAGATCTGTGTAGCCTGTGGCTTCTGAACAGACGACCCATGGGAATTCTACTCTCTCAACGGTCGATATGAAGAGAGATGTGGCTGAGTATTCTAGCAGCTCGAGACCTTTTCTCATTCCATGTTGATTGCGAAACGAGATATTCAGCAAGCCGTCTCGCCGGGCAAACCTGATTCCTCTAGAGTCTCTCCGCCACCAGACTCAAGTATACATTCCAACACAGTGCGACCGTCGCAAAGAACGGGATCCGCCTTTCAAAGGAAATAACGCTGTGCGCAATGATGTTGGCAAACGGCCAAATCTTGTACCCGTTGACAATGATGGTGAACGTCTTCGTACGCAGATTATGCGGGATCTTGCCAGGCTGGCCGTTCAGAAAACCCATGATGACCAGGAAAGCGACGGTGTTTAGGATGGCGCCCAGTGTGACGCAGTCTATGAACCACTTGGTCCAGATGTTCTTCCAATTCTTCTTTGCCGAAGCTTTCTTTTTCTTCCTCGTCCGCTTCGCCGGTTGTTGTTGTTGTCGTCGTCGCGGACTTGACCCTTCGGCAGCGGTGGTGGGCTCCTGTTCATCTTCTACTTCATCTTCATCGGCGTTGGAGTCTTTTTCAACATCACGATCTTCAAGCGGAATCGAGTGGTAATCTTTGTGTGACGAGGCGGAGGCGGGTACGTGTCGGGGAAACATCTTCTCGAGTAACTCCTGCCATTTGTAGTTTACCGGAGCGGTGACAAGGTCAAGGCAGAGGAAGCGCAGTAGTCGGGGGAGGTCGAATTCAAATGCCTCCTGAGCCTTGGTCAACTTTGCCGCCTCGCCGGAGCCCAGACTGCGAGGGGGAGCATGCACAGTACCTCATTCTTGTGCGCATCAATGATTTGAGCCAGAATGTTGGAGATGGAGACGATGATGGCAGATAGGATCCATGCCTCGAGCAGCGGTCTCCCGGGACGCAATTTAGACAGCCAGCTGTCAGTCGATTCATGAGGCATGATGGCGGTCAATGCACGATTCAAGCAGGGACGGTGTCAGGAACTGGACATCATGCGAGGCTCTGATGGTGGCCGGCGGCGTGAGATGGCTGACTGAATGAGACAGGGAGGCCACGCTGCAGAGCCATGATACAAGGTCGGTGAGCCTGATCGTCGCGTGTCACATTCGAATCCAGCGCCTTGAGTCGCGGGTTGACGATACGATGCACCTCGTGAGCTGTGCGGGCTGTGCAAGTATTACCCCACACAGCCCACAAATGTCCATGATGTCCCACAAGTGTCTCATCATCTGTCATTACAAGCTCCTCGGGTGCCCTTGAGCATGGTTTGTATGTGAATGCTTTTGACATTTCAATCAAGGCACTGCCTTGCTTGCCTCCCCCGCGTCTCACGTCAGGCTTCCAGCCTTGCACAAGCTAATACTCTTCACATCTAGACCTGAAGAATTGTAGAGAGCGAAGCAATTACACCCCCCCCTTCAAAAAAGAAAAAAAAAATTATATGAAAAAAAGGGCGAAGCCAACATGGACCACCGCACTTCCCTCCTTCCACCCCAACTCGCCTCCGTCTTCCGCGGTATCAACATCTCAAGCATCCAGGACGATGACCTCGACCTCTTCTTCCACTGCTGGATCCGTCCACACTGCCCAGCATGCCTGTCCCCGTCAAACCCTTATCCTTGCTCTTGGTGCGCGACATCGCAGACCTGCGTTCCCAACACTATCTACCCTTACCCGTTCGGCATCCTCTCACCTCTCAAGTCCGCCGAAATATGCCCTTTGGCATGGCGGGAGCGGTGGGAAATGCGCGCCAGGCCGTTCAGTTGTCGGTGCTCGAGCATGACCTTTGTGAGTGTCGTGGTTGCGGTGCTGACCACGTTGACGAGCTTGTACTTGATTTGGGCAAGTGTTAAGATTGCGAGATGGGCTGGGAGGAAGTGGAGGAAGCGAAAGCAGGGCTGGTGGAGGTTGAGTAATCGGGTGCCTAGGTGGATACCCTTGTGGAGGGATAGGGACAGGAAGCATTCCTCTTCTACAAGAGCGAACGCAGAGGCTGAGAGGGGTACCGGTGGAGGAGGAGCATTGGCGGCGGGAGAAGCGACACCATTGCTTGCGTGATCTATCGCAGTGGCAAAGTCGTAACTTCTACCTTCATATGTGATATTTGACGATTAGTACAGAGCGGGATAGTTTCAGCGCTCTTGACTTGCTCCCTCTGCTCAAGCATCCTCTCCGCCATCGTCCTCACCGGCGGCTCCTGGCCCTCTACAAACCTTACTAATGCGATACTCAACAGTCAGTCCCCCTTCTCCGACAATGAATCTCCCAGCACCGACAAAGAGCGCCTGTTCCAGGGTTTTGTACCGCATCGACCCCGTCTCAAACGATACTTGTATGACTTCCAACAAGCATGCCCCAGGGGGTGCCTCCGTTAGCACCATACTGTGAATGCGGCATCAAAACGGTCTGGATAGGACAGTATCGAGGAGGGGGAACTGGGGTCGGATAAGACGTACACGAATTGCCAAACTCAGTGGACTTTGCATTGACGCTGCGGCCGAGGATCCGGCGCATTTCATTCGTGATGTCAACTATTCCAGTGTAGTGGATGTGTATCGTCTGCGAGACCGGAACAAAAGAGATCTGGTCGTCAACCATCGGCTCCCAAAGTGCTCCCTGGATTCAAACCGAAAGGAACCGTCGACGAGAAGACGGCAATGAACTGGGGAGAACCTGGATGGGCAAGTGGAAAGTCTACTGACCTCTCCATTCTGATCTCTAATATTCCTCCCCAAGACTTCAATCAGCCTTTTCTCACCACACTCTAGCTCTCCGCATAGAAACAACCCAGAAACAGCTGAGAGCTTCAGAAGATGAACACTCACCCAACAACCAAATCACTCCGCAGCCGCATCCGCCCTCCATCGGGATCATTATGCACATAATCCACCCCCGGGCCTCTCAACCTCGCATCCACTCTGACAGGAAAGCCCGGTTCACTCACAAAAGTGCCCGAAATGAGGGGGACCACTGTCAATGGCGTGCCGCGAGAGAGCGAGCCGACGGGCGTGGCAGGACCGATGACGATGGTGAGGTGAAAGGCGGGCTGGAGGCTGGGGTGGTCGGCTAGAGTCGAGGAGCGCGTAGCAGGCGAAGTGCTCGTGGCGGCGGCCATTTGTGTAGAATCAGGCGCCAAAAAGAGTCGTTGGGATGAGGTTCGTTGGCCGTCACAGATTGAACTGCCTCTGGAGGGGGATCATCCTTTCAGATCCTCACATATTTGACAAGAGGTTGAATGTCAATAGAGTGTCAGAGTGGTTTAAGGAGAGGGAGAAGGAGAAGTAGAAGTGGAAGTAGAACGAGAAAGACCAAAGATCTAATGGGGTCGTAGACGAGGTACATACTATTCGTCATGGAAGGAGTACTTACTACTCAGCGTAAGTACCCCGCAGTACGCATTGTCACCGTCTGCAATCGTTATGAATCTCTAGTACACCAGGATCGAGTATTCAGTATATGTATATGCCCGACTTCAACAAACAGATCCAACCGCATCGCCCGTTAGGCCATAACAAGTCGTCAAGTCTCTAACCTGTCCCAATTCCATAGATCCGTCCCATACCGAATTCACTGGCACACTCCTGGGTCATTGGCTCGTTATCTCACTGATCGTACATTGACAAGAGACGTAAAAGAAAAATAGGAGGGGGCCAAAGAGGAAACAGCACTGGCACTGCCTGGCCTTCTCCCAAAGCAGACATTCATCCAAACTGCTGATCGATCTCATCGTCAGGTTTCGTGTGCACGAAGGCCCGCTTGATAAATGTCTTCCATAGATGATTCTTGCGCGTCTTTGTTTTGTCCTTGTGGCCGCTTTTCTTGGAGGAATCGACATCAATCTCGACATCCTCGGTATCGGCATGGCTCAATTTCAGCCTTTCCCGTCCCATCTTCTCGGCCAGATCCAACATGGAGCGCACCGTCAAGTCTTTCATCTGATATGCTCTGTCGTTGTTCGTTGTGTACTCTGGATAGTAATTGAAGTATTGGTACCGATCTTTCTTCGATGACTTGTCATTATGCATCTGCTCGTGTATATGAGTCAGGTTGGCGTAGTATTGCGTGAACGACAGCAGTGACAGCGACTGCGGAGAATACGCCGGACCGGGAGAAGACGTCCCGGATGGTGGTCTGGGGACTGGGAAGTTGGGTTTCTTCGGCTTCTTTTTGCCTTTCTTCTTCTTCTTCTTCTTGAGATCGTGGGCATCATCTTCCGGGTTCATGTCTTCGTCAGACTCATCTTCCTCCGGTTGCTCCAAGATCGTCTCCTCATATGCTTGACCATCGATGTCGTGTGCAACTGCAGGTTCCCCAATCGCCCCCTCGGCCGGGTGATCGTTCTCCATCCCTGTGATATTGTACTCCACAACGCGAAGCGTCGGAAAGAAGTTTGGAACGACGCTCGGAGACACCAAGGACATGCTGAATCGTTCAGCCCATGGTCCACCGATCGCCTCCAGAAATTTGGCAAGTTCCCTCTCTTCATCCTTCTTTTGGGTATCGACAAAGTCATTCGGGATCGCCTCACCATCCACAGACAAATATGAATATCCGGCTGGCGGGGTGGGTAGTTCTGACCAGCCTGATCTCAATTCATTCAAGTATTGGGCTTTGGCGGCAATGGAAAAGGTGGCGTTATCTGGTTGCGATCTAAGCCGCTTGTCGACCCCCTTGATCTTGAACTTGTAATGCAACTCTTTGACGTCTTGGAACATAAAATGATCGATGTTCATGTGTCCAAAGATCGAGGTGACAATGACATCTCGGTACTGTCGCATCCAAAGGGTAAACTTCTGGTAACAGCTTTCATCCCAGTTCTGTTTGCTCTCAGTCCTGGCCGGCGGCACATGGCCTATAAGTATGGCCTTCATTCCCCGGTTGCGGAGGAATTGTAATTGGATCCGGAGCCACTCCATGTGCTCGTAGCCCGGTTCCGACTTCAAATCGCAGCCATCAACAGCCGAGTTTGAATCGAAAAAATACAGAGTATTGAGGCTAAAGACCGCAAGTTTATTAGGTATGACTTCGGTGAAGAACCAACCACCTCTTGCAAATGAATGACGTTGTGCCTGAGGAACAAACCGGTTCCAGACATCCAGGTAGGCCCGGGTCCACTTGTTCGGCCCAGGTGTGAAGATGTTGTGAGGAAGAATATCGTTGTTCCCAAAGGTAGGAACAATTGGGACGACGAAATCGTTGGTCGGGTCCGGGTCGTCTATGTTGTCCGGTTTGCCAAAAGCCTCAATGAACTTGTCCACAATGAACCGGTTGAGCTTGAGCACCTGTTTATCCGATCGGGGAAGGCGTTCGTCATTGTCGTGGCGGGCCGAGTCGCCAGTCCAGACGACAAAATCAATCTCGTCTTTGAGGTTCGCTTCAATCCATTGGAAGGTCGCATTAACCAGGCTTATGGGGGCATCGCAGTCTGTTACTTCTGCTCCAAAATATGCAGCCTCGCCATGGCCTGAATGGCATTGTTCTTCAGGATCGGAGTGGGATTTGTAGAAGGGGTCGGGATGAATGTCTGCACAAAGGGTCAGCACAGCCGGGGTTGTTGGGGGACCCGCAGTTACCTGTGATGTGCAGGAATCTACCTCGTAATTTTCTGGAAGCAGGTTGGGATTTTGAGGTCGACGATCCAACAATTACCTGCTGTAGGCCATCCTGTTTCCAAGGGATGTTTGGAGGTGCTGCCGCTGCGAAGGCTGCGCAGAGCACCAGGCAGCGGGCAAGGCGAACCATGGCTGAGCTGCTAGTTGCGGTCACATCGACTTGCCCGGGTCGAGGGAACAAAGGGCATCCGAAATAACGAGCGAGAAGTCGATGTATCTGGCCGAAAGAATGTTCCTAGTGAAAAGAAATCCCTTGCAGTCGACGTGCAAAGGCGCAGACGCGGGTGAAAGGTCCTCAAGGTGAAGGTGGTGGAAAATTGGGCTCAGAGAACCCACGTCATCCGGCGAATGGAGGTTCGGTCAAGCGATTTAACTCGCCGGACTGCCAGGGCACCACTGGGCAGCCAAGAGCACCTCCGAGGGCACCTGCGGAAGGAGGCGACTGGCTAGGCGAGCCTAGTTGGACCAACTGCCCCTGCGAGCCGCCCTTAGATGCGCCCCGCGATGCTCAGGCACGGGTCCGAGATTCAGGAAGCAATACCCGACCGCCAGCTGGACGATGTGACGTTGCGGGAAGCCTTTTTTTGCGCACGAGATCGCCAACAAACACTTTGAGACGTGTGTGCGAGCAGATTCCTTCGGGGTTTGAGCACATCTAAATATCGATTGCGGTATCCTGGGACTGCGCATCTCCTCGCTTGATCTTGCAGCTGCCCCCTTTTCCCAAGGGCAAGTTGGCACTGTTGCTTCTGCAACCTCCAAAACTCTGACCGTGAGATGAAGTTGTCCAAGACCAATTAGCGGGACCATGGAATCCACGTGGGCTTCGTTGCGCTCTTACCAGCTCTCAGATGACTTGAGCGCCTGCCCTCCTTTACAGGAGCTGACACCCTCCTTGGTCGCACTCGAGCTGCTTTAGGCTTCTTGGGCCCTGTTATTGGATTCTAATAGGGACGCAGTGCGTGATTTGGGTGAGGGCCGTCGCGAATGGCTTGCATATAACGGGTAATCGAGGACCTTTGACCAAGTGCTGCTTGAGGCACGCGACAGACTTCCATCCCGCACTATTCCTAGGCAGTCCGGCCTGATGTAATTTCTCATCCACTTGCACCAGTACTGCCATCAACTGCGTCCACCATAAAATTCATAGCTCCGCCGAGGTAGCGACCCTTGCGGCATGGGGTACAGCGTTGGCATGTGATAGTCTTCAGGTGGCGTCAGCATTGCTTGTTGCCGCATATCAGGTTGGACAGGGTCATGATAAATTGGAGAACTCGGGAGCTGGCCCAAGGCTGGTCCGTCGTATCGATAGGCGGTTGTATCTGGAAAACCGTTGCCTGCCATACTGCCATATCCGACATTGGTGGTCACTGGAGCATTGACATTGACTGTGCTCGGATACTGCACAGTGCCTAGTTCCATCTGCCTGCTCTTCAATCGTGAAAAAAGCACGGCCGATTCTTGCTCAAACTTTTCCCGCATTTCCGGCATTGACCAGCGATGCCGTGCAAAGTCGAGAATTTCAATGATCTTGCGGAGGCAGATGGCCGCCCGTTGGCCATTGTCTAGAGGTACGGTGTTGGCGAGAGGCGAGCCTTCACGAATAGCATGCGTGGTTTTGATGAGTCGATCAAAATCAGACCACATCACTTCCAGGAACTTCTGTCCCACGTATTTCGCTCGACTGATATCGGCAAATGTCAAGTATGCGTGCCAGGTAACGTCTTGCGTGATGGGCTGCAGAAGATCGGCGTACTGCGCCGAATATTCGAACACGAGTTCCTTGTTGAGATCCGTCATGCTGCTCGCGGGAACCCGCTGGTTTGGCGAAACTACCAAGATTTGGCAATACAGCCTTTCAAGGTTGAAAAGCATCAGATGACGCTGTGACAATGTCGCGGGGATGGTAGAATACCAAGCGTGAATATCGTTCGATACAGAACTGGAATAGGTGGCCGCCGTCGCTAGAGGCCACCGAGATCGAGAAGACCACCTTGTACTCTGATAGAAGGCTGACTGAACGCGACGAATATCGAACAAATAGAGGCATGGTTTAACCGAATGCAGAAAGACTGGGGATGGAGAAGGGTCCGATATTGATTCAGGTAAAGGCACCTCGGAAGCGGAGTCGTCAGTGAATGAGAATGCTCGATCAAGGGACATGCTGACAAGACGGTCAAGAGCGTATACACAGTGGAATATCCTTCGCCGCAGGTCCAATGTATTCTTGCTGATCTTTGACTCTGGCGGCGGCTCGCAGTGCAGCCCGAGATCGACCATGAGGCGGGCAGCCATGCCCACGAGGTACCAGGGGTCGTAGTGTGCAGGGTCTACCAATGAATACTGTACGAGCAGGAGAAGAGCTTGTACTCCGGCAATCGATCCAGGATGTAACACATAGCCAGCTAGTCCTCTAGCCGCCGACATGTGCTGTAGCGCCGTCTTGTCATTCTCGTCTCCTTTGCGTTGCGAATTCGAGGCATACGCAATGGCCAGGATCAGT